TACGAGAGAAGAGAGAGAGAGAGAGAGAGAGAGAGAGAAAGTTAAAAGTGAAACGTATCTTACCGCATACTTCTAGATCAATTCCACAGAAACGAGAGAGAAAATTATTCCGACCGTGCTCGGCTATTTCTGCGGGACAAAGAAATCGCGGGATAATGAAGGAAACACAGGGAGACGAATGGGAGGGAGAGAATATGAGGAGATAAAAGGGTGAAGGGTGGAATAAAAGGCAGAAGGGAATGAAACAAAAGGATACCTCTGTAAAAATCCTTCCCTCGCGATCGAACCTCGCATTCCCCCCTCGAGAAGAGGGAGTCTCTTTCTCCCCGGACAATGGTTGAAAAGAATCGGGCGGGTGTACGCGTAAGAGGGTCCCCGCCGAAAGTGGCGGCCACACCAGATCCTCCCTTCGTTCCGTGTTCATACGCGAACTAATACACGCGACGACGAAGACACGTTCCAACGTGTTTGGCGGCGGCATTCCGAAAAAAAGGATATCGTCCTCGTGGGATCGATGGTGGGAGTTAGAGGTGAAAAGACGAGTCCCGAATGACCGACCGATCGTTCGACTCATCCTTGCGGAAGAAGATGGACCGGGTTTGCGGTGGTGCGGGGCGGCACGACTAACACACCGCCCCGTGAGTCGGAGGGCGATTCATGTCGGGTAAAGGCTGGTGAAACTCGGTATCCTCCAGCTGACGGTCGCCAGGAGGGACACCAGAAACTTGCTCGCCAAAATTGCCGGGCCAAGATTCCTCCTGTCTCCGCCGTGCATCGCCGCCGGTTTCTCCTCCTCTGAAACGAGATTAGAAACTCTGACTCGATGGCTGCAAAAAAGAAATTCTTTCTTCGCGAGAATCGTTCTCCTTCAACTGGAATGCGAGACAGAAGGAGAGAGAGACGTTTCACGTACTGGTGGCCGAGCGAGGGAGGAGAGAAGGAGCGTTCTTCCATGTTCTGGAAGAAGGAGAGAGAGAGAGAGAGATATTTTCGTATAGGAGCGGTAAAATACCCCTGAGGGCGGCTACGACGTTTTAAACGAGCTCGACTCCTAGTCGGACACAGGAAGCTAGCTAGAACTTCGGACGAGACGAGGTTCGTCTCTTTTTTACATCTTCCGTCTTCCTCGTTCGCCTCTAACTTCGTCCCCGTGGCAGTAGTAGTCTGATCACGCGCGCAACGATCTCCGGAATACCGGCAATCCGATCGAGGAGATGCTCGAGGGGCAGCAACGTCAAATCTTGCTTTTACACCCGAATTTCTATCGAACGTTCGAAATATCGGTGTATCTGCACGTAACACGGAACGTTTCTCTCCTCCTTCACGAGCATTCGATGTTAAGCTTTTGTCTTTCTACCCGCGATACAACTCTCTCTCTCTCGATCTCCCCTTCTTCTTAATCGAATATGTCAATTTGTTGTCAAATCTTGGGCAAAACGAGATGATTGGAAAGAACTAGATCGCTATACTATTATTATCGAAGCGATTTTGCGACGTCGAGTGTCAACTTATTTATTTAACTTCTCGAAATTAATAACAAATTCCAACGAATTAATAATAAGAATCGATTTCATTCTCATTTTCGCTCACCTTCGATCACGTGAACCATCATGTATGCAGGCTTGGCGTTGCTCGGTACGCAAGTGTAATTGCCGCCATGCGAGGGTTTCGTTTTGTCGACCATCAGGATCGATCCGTTCTTGGTCAGCTCGACTTTCACGCCTAGCTCCTCGTCGTAGTTGATCATGTGCCCCTGGCGATACCAGAACACGTAGAGGGGCGATTCCGCCGCGGCCTTCAGTTGACACTCCAGTCGAAGGCTCGAGCCTTGCTTCACGTGTAAATCGGGGGCGCCTGGTATGATCGAGTACGCTTCCGTGATCTTCAAGCGCACGAAATTCCGTTGCACCGGATGCGACGTAATCTGAAATTTCGAATAGTTCTCCGAGTGAATGAATGCTTCCCTCGACCGATCGGTGTCTCGTACGAACATCACCCACGATTCGCATTCAATATCCAGCTCGACTCGAAAAAAATCCTATTTCTTCCACGAAACGTGGAATATTTCGAAATTATTCGAGACCTCGAGTTTGTATTAACCCTTTGCGGTTCCTTGCTGGGTCGAACAAATTTTGTTGAAGGAAGGAATGTATGTAAACATGAATATATTTAATGTTAAATATACGAAGTTAATCGAAGAATATTTTGTTTAATGGAATTTTAGACTTTATTAGAGAACGGTAATTATTATTGTTTCATAATACACAAATATGTTTTAGTTCTTGTATTTTGTCAAAGTGTGAAAATTCTCAATCCCAAATATGCATATGGTAGGTTCACGAGGCCAAGTATCGACTTCCTTTTCTTTCTCCATTTCTTTGAACATACCAAACAATAAAATCTTCTTTTTCCTTATTTTGCGACGTATTTTTGTAAAAAAAAAAAAATCAAAGCAAGACTGTGATATATCTCTATGTCTACGTAACATTTTAGTTAACTCGTTATTTATTGCTGATTCCTGTAAAACGAAAAGCTACCCAATAGTAACAACAAAGTATTGCCAAATTGAAAAAAATCTATGGACAGTATACATAACAGAAATTATTTTCTGTCGCCTTTGCGGCGACACAATCATCCGCAAAGGGTTAACGCATCGATCATAACGATGCTTTACGACGACGCGTTTAATATGAAAATTTCAGAAATATTTCAGAAATTATTTATAGACGAAGAGAAGTTTTCCAATAACTTTTGAAACGTAATATCGAAACGTAATATCCTCGCTCTTCTCTTCGCTTTAAAAATTAAAGACGACCGGTATCTTTCACGGCATCCGGAGGGGGAGGGGGGAGGGGGGGGGGGAAATGTTTGACAAGACGCAGTGAGATTCGTGAGTACGCCGTTTCATTCAACGCCGAAATATTCTTTCCTCGTGTTGTTCCTCTTTCTCGCGCGAGAAGAAACGTCCCATAAAACTTACGCCCCCGCGTCGCAAATTTAAAATATCGTCCCTATTTTACGAAATAAACGATACGCGCATGTTTCGCGCGAACAGAATGAAACACACCGTCATTCCAGGAACGTTCCAGCCTTTTATATTACAATGTGTTTGCATACCTGGCACTCGTATATGCCCTCATCCTGAACGGTGACCGCTCGTATCTGCAGCAACCAATCGGTACTCGAGTGAATCACGACGAATCGTTTGTCGACCGAGTGGGTGCTCTTGCCCACGGTTAACAACCGCCTGTTCTTCGTTTCATCCACGTGATCTGAAATTGAAAAAGGTTCAATTAAAAGAAAACGGCAGGCCGTACCTGTCCATAAATTTCACGCGCATATTTATGTCTGTGTGTATGCGTGCGTCTATTACTGCTACAGGCGAATGACCTTCTTTTTCTTTTTTTTTTTTTATTCAAACGCGAGTTTTAAAATTGAACGAACGCTTCGTCGAGCGTTTTGACGAAACGAAGATCGGCCGAATTCGGGCCGAAAGTTTCACGACGCGGGTTCGAACTCGGCCGTAAAAGCAGCCAAGCAGTGCCAGACCATGTCGTATTTCAATGCTAGCAACCCCGAACCAGTTAGCGTCGTGCTCAAGTAGCCATGAATACCTCTTTCGCTTTCGCCTATGCTCAAAAATTGAACGAAGTTAAACCGACGTGTCCACCCCTCCTAACTAACCTTACCCTCCATCACAGGGGATGTAATAGCGGGAATAAATTATGCGTGTGTGTATGTCAATTTTTTTTTTTTAAGAGTACCATTCACAAGGATCTGAACGACGAGGCTTTCTTTCGAGAATATTCGAATTTTTATCACCAAAAATAGATTTTTTTTTAACGATATTTATCCAACGAGGATATTGAACGGCGCGTTCAATGGTGAGTATCATTCGGTTTTCTTTGAAAGAGAGAGAATTGTTCGAACGTTCCATTCGAAATAACCGTGTGATCGAAAACGGGACGCATTGGAAATTTCGGATAAAAGGAGCGGCATCCTCGATAAATTCACGGATATCCGGATTAATCAGATAACAAGTAACGAGCGATTTTCTTCGTAAAGCCCGAAATAATTCAGGGACGAGTGGGGCCCTCGTTGTACAGGCGTTAAAAGCATTTAGGTCATTTACGGTAACGATGTATAGGAAACAGCATGTATCATATCATAGGCAATGAGAGAGGCGGAGTAAGCCAGGCTTGTGTCCAATATCAATTACGAAGGCCATTAGCGTACCCTAATTTCAGGGTAATTTTCATTCCTGACCGTGGCGACCACGAAACTTTACTCAATTTGTCCGACACCCGTCGATTTCCACCTCCTCCAATTCCCTTTCCGCTTCGAAAAATCCTCCTCCGCTCCGAAATTTCTTAAAAACTTTATTAATATTATCGAATTTATCGCGCGAAACGATCCTCGATCAAACATTTCGAACCCAAATTCATTTTCACTTGTTTTCATTTGTGTGCTTAAACACACGTCGTTTAATAACACGCGTCGAAATATCGTTGCATGTCCCTCCTCCAATATCCTCGACGCGGTCGAGCTTCAAGAAGTTGAAAATTGGCTCGACGAAGGAACAAGTTCGCCGGTTTTCAAATTGCTCGTTACGGGGCGAGAGTAAAAATGAGCAGGGGGAAATTGACTTTGAAAACAGATTGGACAAAGCTGCGCATCGAGCCGAAGGGGGGAAGGAACGTTGTAGTACTCGTCATAATGCGGAAGCCGGTAACGAGTTTCCTGTGAAACAGATTCAACTCGACCGTAAATATCAGAAAATATCCCGTGACGCATTTACAAACGGAGGGGCGGTGAGTGAAATTCGAATTCGGCGAAATATACACGCGTCACCTGCTCACACCGTTAATTTCATTAAAGGTGTGATTCCCGTAATTCCCGTATTTTTGATCCTGTTGAATTTCGCGTTTCAGGACGTAGTACATCCACGTATTAATGTATTCCTCCTCGTTGCTTATTTGCATCCCAATTTGAAAAACGTATTTTTCAAAAAGAGAGAACGAAATTGAAATAATTAAAAGATACGGAATCGTTGATTTTTTTTTTTTTGTTTGAAAATTAATTCAATGTTTATGTTTTATGGATGGTTCGTTGATCATTGAAAGGAAGGATGGAACGTTTTTGGAAAAATTTAACGATCTAAACTCGATCTGTATCACTCCGTAGTGAAGAATGGGGGGTATCGAGGAAGTCTTAATTCGCCGCGAAATTGAGGAAATTGTATATAATTGAATTGTGCCGATTGAAATGAGACGTTCACTGTCGATCGAATCGATCCTGGCACGGAGACAGCTTTCGATGTATAAACCGTTTTAATGCTTAGTCGGCGCGTAATTATCGCCGATTCCATCAAATAGATCCGTAGGAGACCAATTCTCGGGTACATAACGTCGCTGAAACCATCGACTATCTAATCCAGGATGTTTCCACGTAATCCTGAATTCTGTTAGAACGAACTTGTTCTCCGTTATCTGAGATCGATCTAACATTTTGGCGAATCTGCGTACTTTCCATCAACTTTTTCCCTTGAAAAAAGAAGAGGAAAAATAAAATTATCATTCGATTTTTCCCCTCGACCGTCTTCCGTTCTCTATCTTCTTTTCTTAAATATATTCCACAGTGGACAGCGAAACAGAATGTCGTGCAACTAGGTTAATTTCATCGAACAATGATACAAAGGTCAACGAAATCGATTATTCTCCTCAACCGAAATGCAAATCGTGCTCTGAAACGCGATTTAATCCCGCTCCGATCTCATTAATCCCCCCTTAATTTCCACTCTTAATTTCGTTCCCCGCTGCGAATCCGCTCTTCTTAAACGTGACACGTGTGTTTCGAGAATCCTCCAAGGGATGCTGTTAAAGCAACCATAGGCAAGAAAACCTTCAGAGAGAGAGAGAGAGAGAGAGATCGTATGTGTATACGTATACACGTGCAACCGACCGTCTCGGTATATCGTGGAGCTTTTCAACCGGAGCTTCCACCAATACCGGTGAAAGCTTAATTGGAAACGACTATCCACGGCAGCCTTATACCCTATTCTTAATCTCCCGAATGGGAATTGCCATGAACCGTGGATGGAGCCTGTCCTTTCTGCGATCAGTGGATAACGATGTGGCCGCGCTTTTCGTATCCTCACGAAATCTTAACAAACTGGGTTCATGGTGGAGGGTGGGGCTTGTTCGAAGAAGCCATTATACGCTGGTAAAACGTCTTCGAAATTACCGGGGACCCGGTTGAATTATACTAGCTTCCTTATTACACAAATCTCCCCTGGCGGCATTAAGGAAAATTATTCGCCTTCGTGGAATCCTGTACACAAGAGAGACACGACCAAATGTATCACCAGTAAAATCCATTTTCGCATCCTCGTTCAATTTTTAATTAGAAAGCAAAAAAAAAAATCATTTTCGATCGTGTTTTCAATTTCGAATTCGATGGAGGATGGTAATGCTTTTTAACGTAATTTCGAAAGCGATGGCACGTATCTTCTGCGTGAAGTAATCCATTTTCGGCTTCTAGAGTTTAACGTAACGAGTTTTAGTAAAAAAAAAAAAAAAAGAAAAAAAAATATCTTCGATCGTATTTTCAATTTTTGAATTCGATAGATTTCCCGATGGATGAAGGTAATGTTTTTAACATACTTTGGGAAACGGGTGTAAAATAAATTGGCGTTATCCAATTACTGGTGGAATAATTATTATCGGGTACGATTGCATTGTTCGACGGGATACACGTTGAAAGTTTATACGATTACACGGTTTCGAAATTCCTTTAACGAGGAAAGATTTTCATCGTCTGTTATTGAGAAATTACAAGCAAACTTGGCGTCGAATCACACGCCCTTAAGATCATTAATGGGTATTAATTGAACAGGTTTATGTGGTATCTTATGTCGAATTACATTTCGAGATTGGTTGATATAACTCGCGCATCGAATATTTTTGAAATAACAAATTCGTTTCAGATACGATCATATTTCGTGTAATATTTCATATGACATCTTTGAAATAACATTATTTGAAATAATATTCGAATTCGTGAAATAATATTTTAAATTATACATTTCGAACAAGCGTGTAATTTTATTTCACTTATTCGATAATAATTGCTCGAGACAATTTAAAATATTATTTTTAAACGATGTTACATTACATTATTAACACGACGATGAAATAAACGATTTTAATTTATTTATAAAAATATCAAACTTTTAAAACGGCGGAATAGAATAGTGCCCAATCGTGCCCAATCAATAAATCTGTATAAATTTCAACAGCTTTCATTTGGAATTAAATAAATTCGACGAAAATAAACCTATATACAAACGGGGCGCTTTCGAAACGAGGGGGAGGGGGGAAAATAATTTAAAGCCGAGAACTCGATAAATTCGAAAAGTGTTTGCCCTTTTTAACGTTCGTTACACTTCTAACGATGAGAAAGATCTCTCCAGGATAGCCTCCATAAAGACGGTCTCCTCCAAAAGGCGGTAATAGGAATGGAAATATTTGTCGAGAAAGGAACGTTTGCGCATTTATTAAACCTCTTCTCAATTGCCTTCCTTCCTTCCTTCCTTTGTATTCTTCCTTGTATTATTTCAAAAAAAAGAAAAAACGAGAAGAAAAGAAAGAAAGGGAAAAAATTACAAATTTGCATCCTCCATGTCCCTTGTTTAGCATTCAGAGAGTATAATCGTTTCCCGCGTTTAATCGTGTTTAATCTGCTAAGAAAGTGGACGAGGAAACTCGGCTGGTAAGAAAGAGAGAGAGAGAGAGATAATACTCGGTCGTTCCATCCTGCTACCTCTAACGGTGATGCAATCTGGATTGAGCTGACAACGTAAAACTGGAAGGCGTTCCCAACGGCAGATGACAGTTATGATCTTTACTGCACACGGTTCACCACTTAACGCGTGATTTAACCCCAATCGGCGTTGCGTCGACCGCCCTCGTTTCGCGGTTCCTGTAAATTGGCAAGTTTAACCGTGCGGTGAATAGGTAATGACAGATTTATGCCGCGATGAAAAAAAAATTGTACTTTTACAAGCGAACAGCGGTAAAAGTTCGTCTGAAATATTCGATGGTAACGATGTATCAATTTGTCTCGATTTTTTGTCCAATCCGTCGTTGCGAATTGCATATTTCACGCCAGTTTTTCTTTTTTTTTGTGAATTTTTTTTAAAGAGAAAGAAAATTCTGTTAATAATAGAAAGAAAAGACGTAAAAGAAAAGGGAGAAACAAAATAGTTTAGGAA